GAGAGAGAGAGAGAGAGGGGGGGAGAGAGAGAGAGAGAGAGGGGGAGGGAGGGAGGGAGGGAGGGAGGGAAAGAGACAGAGACAGAGAGTACATTCACGCACATGGATGCCAGAACTCAACACTGGATGTCATTCCTCTGGAGTCACCTACCACGGTTTATGTGGTTGTTGTTTTCTTTTCTTTTGTTTTTGCCTTTTGAGATAGGCTCTCTCAGTAGGACCTGGCGCTTACAAATGAGGCTGGGCTGTCTGGCTAGCAAACTCCAGGGATCCACATGTCTCTGTTTCCCTTGTGTTAGAATTGCAAATATATGCCACCATAGCCAGCTTTTTGGAGCCAGGGACTCAGTGAAGGTTTCTATGTGGCAAGTACTTTATCAGCTAAGCTGTTACTACAATAACCTCTTAGTTATAATAACTATGTAGCTCTGGCTGGCCTAGAACTCACTGTGTAGACAACATTGGCTTCAAATTCATGGTTATCCTCTTGCCTATGCTTCCTAAACACTCTTTAGGGGATTTGAGATATGAGTTGTCATGTCTGGTTTGTTTTGTTTGTTTTTAAGGCAAGTCTGTTGACTACACAGAGGGTACAATGTGTGCACAGTAGTGCCAGAAGAAACACCTTCCAGAGAACTTCTTGGCAGCTCAACAACCCCAGGACCTTTATTAGTTAATCCTACCCATTTCTGATCACTCTGGTTTAATACACCCACTCATCCCAACCAACTGTGATAAAAACAAAACAAAACAAAGACTTGTATAGGCACTAAAGATACAATTATGAGTAAAAACAGAGAAGGTTCACGTCTTCATAGGGCTTAGATCATTGTGGAGGGACTTCATGGTCAACTGTTCCCTTTGATAAATTGAAATCATGACCGTTATGAATGCTATGAAAACTACCTGGATCTCTGAGAGTGCAGGAGCTGAGTCAGCAACCCTCCTGGCCCTCCTGACCACCCACACCTTTCATTTGTGTGCACTGCTGTAATTTTTAAAAAGTGGCATGAGAGAGAAAGACTCCATGTGACACAGTTCAAGCGGAGGGTTTTTTATTAAGGGAAAAGGATCGAAAAAGGAGATGGGGGGGGGGAGAGACCAGCCTCTGGGGACAGGAGCAGCAGGAGAGAGAAAAGAGAGGCAGAGAGAGAGAAAAGCACAGACAGGAAAAGAGAGAAGGAGAGGAAGAGAGAGGGATGGGAGGTGGGCGGGGCCCTTTTAGAAGGGAACAGAGTGAATGTGCCCAGGTGGTGCTCTTAGTGACATAGCTGAGGGAGTATCCTGTCAGAACTCCAAAGGCAGGCCAGTGCAAATGCCTGAATACTAACATGCACAGTGTATCTTCTTGCTCAAATTATAAACTCCCAGAGCTTATTAAAAAAAAAAAATCTTACACACTGTCCTTTTTGTTTTGAGATCCTTCCAGGTATCCAAAACAGTGAATTACTAGTGTATGCTTACTTACATACTATGTAAGTTTTGTTCATGTATATAGCTGTCTCAGATTTTGTTTAAAAACTTTCTTTTAGGGGCTAGAGAAATAGTGCAGAGGCTAAGAGCACTGGCTGCTCTTCCAGAGGACCCTGGTTCAATTCCTAGCACCCCATGGCAGCTCACAACTATCTGTAACTCCAGTTCAAGGGGATCTGACACCCTTACACCAATGTACATTAAATTTAAAACAATAAATAATTAAAAAGAAATCATTAAAAAAACAACTTTCATTTATATCCTACTGCAAGGAAAAATTACAGTTTTTGTTGTCTTAAATATCAGGCTGTGATGTTAAGGGAACCCAAATTAAGTAAAAAGTAAAAGATTAGTGTGGTACCCTCTGCCAGCATTCCGAACAACTACCTGACAGTACTTAAAATAGTTTTCCTTTTTCTTTTTCCCCCAGAGAAGGTCTCATGTAGCTCAGGCTGGCCTAAACTTATTACATAGCAAAGGATGACCTCCAAGGTACAGGGATCTCAGGTCTTTTGCCCTCCATCATCTCAGTTTGTTTTTGATTTGAGTTTTTTGTTGTTGCTGCCTCCTCCTCCTCCTCCTCCTATACAAGGTCTCACCCTGTAGCTCAGGCTCATCACCTCATTGCCTCAGCCTCCCAAGTGCTAGCATTATAGGGATGAACCACCATGCCCAGCTAAGGATGACTGTCCAAGGAAGAATTAGCAAAAACCACAGAAGGCTTGGCTGAAACCATTTCTATCTCTAGAAATACAAAAGACAACTTGAAGTTTTTCAGTACTAAGCCAGTGACATGATGTTACTTTGCAGATAAAAGGCAAAAGACTCAAGACAAAGCAGTTAAACGTAATAGATAAAACAGTTTGATGGTGATCAAAAAGCAGTCTAGCTTCCACTTACATCTCGAAACTGAACCTTTCCAAGTTCTCCTAATTCACTGACGCAACAATAAGCAGCTTCTGACTGTAGAAATAGCTGGGCTAGGGTCATCTCCTCGCTCCGGAAAAGCTCCCCCATGGTGGCAGAGTAGTCAGTAAATATCTGTGGTTCACTCCAATCTGAGGCAAGAGAGAAAATGACATGGCTTGAGAATTAACCTCTAGGACCAACGACAAAAAATACCCCCATGAAGTTCTTTATTTCTTTCGTGCCCTGTGAGAAGTATTGCTATCTGCTTAGAAAAGTGCAAAAAAAGAAACTGCAAAAAGCCATTACTAAATACCAGACTATAGAGTCTAGACAAAGAGTCACTTCCTTTATAGTTAACATTAGGACTGACTGACAGTATTTTGGGCAATGCAATACAATGGAATATATGCAGATTAAGGACGGGAACTGGGAACTCCAAAAAGCTCTGTCATATCATACAGTGACATTCACAGTACCTGGAGGTTTGTTTTTTGTTTATATAACCTTTGCTGGTCTCAAACTCAACATATAGTGGAGGTTGGCCTTGAACTCCTGATCCTCCTACCTCCACCTCCTTAGTGCTGTGATTCTTGGAATATACCAACAAACCCGGGGCTTTTTGTTGTTACTAGTTGTTTTTTTACACTTGACAGAATTTTCTTACTAACAGGGATCCTCTTTGTTGTTTCATTTTGTGTTTGTTTTGCTTGTGAGCAGGAAACAAGAGACTTTAATTACCCTCTTACACAAAAGATGTACCTAGCTTTCCCTCCTCCATTGGCAATGCCCACTTCCAACATCCAAAATCCCCAAGTACTATCAAAAAGCTATGGGTAAAAGGATCAAACTTCCAAACTCCTGGGAAAACATCACTCCTCTGCTAAGGAATCCCAATATATAAACATCATTGTAAAAAGACAATGGAGCCCACCACAGTTTCAACTCTGGCATAACATGTTGGTAATGATAAATCACTTTTAATAAGCCAGAGGAAAAACCTTCTACCTCTGCAGCTTTTTACTTCCCATCCTACCATCCTCAAAACAACTGTCATCTCCCCTTGTAAACCACGGAAAACTTCCGTTCAGGTCAGCAAAGGCGCTATCAGTGGTACTGAAACTGCAATTATTTTAGTCTCGATAAGCTCAAGTTCAGTTCAGGTACAGCACGGTCTGCAATATCTAATGCCAGCCGATTATACATTACGTTGCTTTTAATGTCCTAAGGTCGTGCATATTCCATACTGATTGATAGGCGAGACTGACATCTCAGAGAAGATTTGCTCTTCGGGAAGGCAGGAAGACATTTTGAGGAACCCGAACAACAAATCCTTTCTGCATTTGGTGTTCTCAAGGACAGCAAAACAACACACTCTGCTAAAACAAGGATTTCTCAAGAGATTACTCGGGTTGACTTAAGACTGTGGACATCTGAATCACCCACAAGAGCTATTACCAGTCTCTCCACCTTCAACAAGGATAGACGCCACAACCTGAAAATAAATGAAATCATGTCTGATCGGCAAAGACCAGGAGCTGCCAGGGATGACAACCTCTTGTAAGTTGCCACCCTCCTCCTATTCCTTCGTGATTACAGGCCTCTCTATCTCTACCCACACTGAAACCAAACATAAGACGAATTTGGAAGAGCAGTTTCCGGGGGTCGCGAAATCAAACATGAACAAAGAATAATTCTGCAAAAGGGGGAACCCAAACCCAAAGTCCTCCCTGGAGGACTCTATCTCGCTCCGGTTTTCCAGTCTCCCCTTCCTAGCAGGGAGCAGTTGTCGTTCATCTGCTTCATTTCTGGGCTGCACAGTGAGAAGGCAGAAATTCTCTGGACTGGGTATAACCTGTCTCCCGGGTACGGGAGAAATCCCCCGATCTTAAGATCCTTTAAGAAATCCCCTGCGATCCCTCTGCCTATCCTATCTCCTCTACCCTGTCGCCTCCCCTCACGGGTCCTCCCGGGGCAGTGGCCCTCCAGTTCCTCTGCCCACAGGAAGGGTGTCTGAGCCGGGGGCTGAGCCCCTCCCTTTTTCTCCCAGAGACCTAAGACCCCTGCGAATTCTTCTGACAAGCGGCCCGAGGTATCGCAGTGCGCCCCGGTGTCCCCTGGAAGGCCGCTCCGGGACGCGCTCTTTCCACAAGCCTCACTCACCTCTGGCCCGCACCGCCGCCGCGACCGCAGTCGCCGCAGCAAAGACCCCGACTCAGGCAGAGCAAGTTCCGAGGAGCGTACGCAGGCAAGGCTCCGCCCCCACGCCGCCGCCGAGTCCCGCCCCCAGGATGACTTCATCCCAGTTGACCAATGGGATGCCGCCTCTCCCGGGCTGCCGCAGTGCAGAGTCCAGGGGGCTCGGGCGAGTCTCGTTGTGCGGACGCCATCTTTGTTCCGGCGTTGTGGTTTCTGACCCGGAGTGTTAGGAATCCTCAGTGCTGGGCGTGTGACTTTTTGAAGTGTTTGACTTCTGAGCCCGTCAGAACCCTTTCTCTCTGTTGTCCTCGGAGCGAGGTTACTTGCCATCTATATTTTCCAGGGAAGCAATTCACAGCCTTTTCTTGAAGAAAGCAGCGTGAGAGAAACGGACATTATAGAAGGACTGTGAGAGCTGCAGGGGGCTTCAAAGCTCGACTTCTCTACACACACATATCCTTTGTCATTCTTAGGCCCCTGGAAATATTTGAGCCCCAGAGGGGAGAGCAACTTAAAACTTACACGGAGTACAGGATTAATTCTTCCAGCAGCTGCCTAGGGTTTACACTTAGACAAATGACAAGAAATGATGACCCAGAAGACCATATGTTGAGAAAATAATTATTTTTATCTTGCTTAGTAGATGCCTGTGAACCCATCTGGCCACGTAGGAGTTTTCAGTTCCTCATATCTTTTGAATGCAAAATGGTAACTACCTACTATTTTTTTAAAAGCTCATTTCCCAAATAGTAATAGTCCCTTTACCCCCTATTAGAGATGAGTAAGTAGGGCGTCAGTGTTAAAAACCAGAACCATCAGGAGGGACCCGGAGAACTGGTCAGTCAGTTTCCGTGGGTGGTGGAACTCTATTGAGATTCAAAAGTAGTGAACAAGATATTTCAGATTAAAAAAAAAAAAAAAACAGAACAAACAAAAAACTGATGCTGATAATTTTTGTGGGCCTGGAAAAAATACTACAAAACCTGTTTTGCAAACCTGAACAAAATGATGGACACAGTGAACATTTTATTTGGATTTTTCTATAGCATAAAGTGATTGAAGATGTCACTTCATTACCATTCTGAGAAAGAGCATTTTTGAGACCTGACTTTACCTTAATTTCCACATTTCCCAGCTCCTTCGACTTTGCTGGCAAGGCAGACAGGGACCCACAATTGAATTCCTGCGGAGTTAGAAAAAAAAGATTTCACAATGACTGTCACTTCCTTCCTCAGAGACTTGAAAAAAAAAAAGCTAACCTCAGAGTCAGCTGCTTGCTAACCACAAACACAAATGTTTCCCACCTTACCTGTAAGAAAGCCTATCCCTGACTAACTTTAATTCCTTTGAACTTTTTTCGTGGCGTCCCTGAAAGTACATCCTCGAAGAAGTCCTTAAAAATAATAATCATAATTTATTTTTTGGGTGTGTTTGTGTGCATTTGTTCTACAGCACAGGCGTGGAGGTCAGAGGACAACTTTGTGGGTGTTGGTTCGCTGTTTCATGTGTTTCCCAGGGACTGAACCCAGGTGGCAAGCTTGCCTGAAAGTGCCCTATCGTTCCTTTTCTTTTTCCTTTCATCCCCTACCAGACACCTACCTTTTCCCAGTGTTCCATTTATTTTCTTTCCATACTCTGTTCCTGGCCATCTTGCTTGTTGCCAGTTTCAAGTGCCTATGCTTAGGGATTCATATTTATTTTTCTATCCAGCACCTTGCTATATGGTCAGAGATGGTGAGATTTCTGCCTGCTAGATAATACCTCATAGACAATATATTTGCTGAAGTCTACTATGAACCAAACAATATTAGGTACCACAGATAGCAAAATGGAGCAGATGCACTTCCCATCCGAGAAATACCTTGAGGAAAAAGTTCCAATACTTATTAGAAAGTGGGTGTAGTGGCTCACACCTGTAATCCTAGTAATGGGATGCTGAAGCAAGAGGATTGCCTCCTAGAGAACACCAGGACAACTAGAGCTGCAAAACATTAAAAGAAAAATGCAAGGGAGAGGGGTGAGTGCGACAATTAATATTATACTTTGTGCTGGGAGAGTTCCTAAATGCTTTGTAAATACAGACTCATTTAATTCTCACAATAACCTTAGGAAGCAGATACACCCATTAATCAGAAGATATGGCAGAATTGAGGTATTGTCTAACAAGATCAAATTTTAAATGCTTTTGAAGCTGGGGGTGTGGCTCTGAGATAAAATGCATAGAAAAAAAAAGTAAGTGCTGTTCGGTCAGGTGTGTGGTTAACCACTTGTAGTCTAGTGAAGCCAGGAAACTGAGGCAGTAGGCTCCTTGAGCCCAGAATTTCTAGGCCAGCTTTGGCAACTTAGTGAGATGTCCTTTCTCCAAAACAAAAACAAAACAAATAATAAAACAAAATGCTGTTGATTGTGCCTTTGGCCCTAAAAGATGTCAGCAATTCCATATGAGACATAAGCAAAAATACCAACTCTAAACTGAGATTTTGCTTAGACACCTAAATGACAATTACAAAGATTAATTCTTCCCTACCTAGACAAAGTAGATAGCAGATACAAGGATCTAAGAAAGAGAATGTCAGAAAGTCACGAGAAGGCCACTGAGATGAGGCCTATATTTCAAATTTTACTTTGAGTTTCCCAAAATAACACTCAAGCTTTTACTTTCAAAGCCCAAGAATGTTTAAGATAAAAGTCTTTTGGTAAAAAGCAAAGACCTTTTCAAAATGCACTTTGAGGCTACTTTTGTTGCCTTAAGGGTCACTTGCCTTTAGTTCTATTAATGATTACACAGACTAGGAGATGTGAATGAGCCTAAGGCATTTGACATTTTAAGCAACCCTCATGACTCTGAGACTCTGAGGCAGGAAGCTCCTTAGCTCCTGGGGATTGGAATGCTATGCAAAGGGGAGTGCTAAAGAAGTGAAAATTTAGAAAGCTCCAGGAAGCTCCAGGAAGCTAGAGATGGGAACGAGGCAGGAGGTGGAGGGACACAGAGCAGAGAAGTCTCTGTTGCTTCAGACCTCATAGACTTGCCTAGGAAAGTGAGAAACCAACTTCAGTTTCTGAAGAGATAATTTAGCAGTTATAACTGGGTTGGCTTTCTACTGATTCACCTGGAGTGAAGAAAAACATAGAAAATTCCAGTGGAAAAAATTTAGTTAAACTAGATGTAGTGGCACAGGCCTGTAATCTTAGTACTTGGGAGGTAGGAGCCAGGCTCAGGTACAGAGTGAGTTCAAGGTCAGCCTGGGATGAATGAGACCCTGTCCCAAAAGGCAAAGGAGAAAGAAAGAAAGAAAGAAAGAAAGAAAGAAAGAAAGAAAGAAAGAAAGAAAGAAAGAAAGAAAGAAAGAGAGAGAGAGGAAGAAAGGGAAGGAGGGCGGGAGGGCCTCAGCTGGGTGGTGGTGGTGGTGCTGGGGTTTAATCCCAGCATTTGTGATTAAAGTCATGTGGTGTCTAGAAAATACTGCTGAACTCTGCCAAAAGACAGATGCCATTCTGACCCCCTCAAACCTGTGGTAATTGTGGGTTTTTGTTTTTGTGTTTGTTTTTTTAAATATTTATTTATTATGTATACAGTATTCAGCCTTCATGTATCCTTGCAGGCCAGAAGAAGGCACTATACTTGATTACAGATGGTTGTGAGCCACCATGTGGTTGCTGGGAATTGAACTCAGGTCCTCTGGAAGAACAAGCAGTGTTCTTAACTCCTGAGCCATCTCTCCAGCCCTGGTAATTGTGGTTTTTTTGTTTTTTGTTTTTTCTATTTTAAAATGCTGTACCCCTGAGCTTCAGCACCAAGAGACTGAGACATGAGCCCACTTTTGGTTGCTGGCTAGTAAAAGGACTTCTAGTCAGGTACAGCTGGCCTTTAATCCCAACACTCAGGATGTAGAGGCAGGTAGATCCCTGTGAGTTTAAGGTCACACTGGTCTATAGAGAGAGCTCTAGAACAGCCAGAGAAACCCTGTCTTTAAAAACCAACCAAACTAACTAACAAACAAAATACAACAACAAAAGGACTTGTATACTCGTAATTGGATTAATTGGGTGTTAGTCAATAATGGTCTCACATGGATCAGAAGTTCAAGATCATCCTCAACAATTTCAGGAGTTCAAGGCCAGCCTGGTTTAGAGAACTAGTCTTCAAATGTGTGATAAGTTGGGGAGCATTTAATGTTTTGTTTTGTTTTTAATTTAAAGAAGAATATTTGTTTTTGTAGATTTTATTTATTTATTATGTATACAGTGTTCTGTCTGCATGTGTACTTCGGGGCAGAAGAAGGCACCAGATCTCGTTACAGATGGTTGTGAGCCACTATGTGGGTTCTGGGAATTGAACTCAGGACCCCTGGAAGAGCAGCCAGTGCTCTTAACCTTTGAGCCATTTCTCCAGCCCACATTTAGTGTTTTTCCTTTGCCAAATACCTCCTCCCATGTAGTAGTTGTAAAATTTTACTTAGGAATGTATCTTCGTGTATGTGTCACATGTGTGCAGGTGTCCTCAGAAACCAGAAAAGGACTCCGGTCTCAGAGAGCTAGAGTTACAGGTGGTTGTGACCACCCAACGTTGGTGCTCGGAACCAAACTTGGATCGACTGGACGAGCAGCCCTTAACTGTTGGACGATATCTCTAGCCATCTATGTTTGCTTGCTGGTGCCTTCAGGGAGTTACTTTTTATATTTTATCCATGAGTGTTTACTTCTTATTTAGGAAAGGCTTGCTGTGAAGGGACTGTTCTGCTCTCACTGGAAAGGGAACTCCCTCTGGTTTTGACAGGCTCCCATCCTATGCAAGAGGGACTTGCTGAATTTCTGTCAGAACAGGATGTTCCAGCTTACTTTATGCTTTCTCTGCTCTGTAATCTATTTCTCCAAGAGCTCTGCTTCCTTTTTGTGAGGAGTACTATTTAGAAATCTGACCCTGTACCAAGTATGTACAGGGTTTTAGTGCTTCTGGGTTTTTTCAACAGGCAGAGACAGGTTCTATATTTATTTATTTATTCATTCATTCATTCATTTATGTATTTTGGTTTTTTTGAGACAGGGTTTCTCTGTGACTTTGGAGTCTGTCCTGGAACTAGCTCTTATTGACCAGGCTGGTCTTGAACTTACAGAGATCCA